GCACCACCACGCCCAGTCTCAATTGCCGTCTCAGTGCACCCTGGGGCCAGGCCGGCATGGCAGGCCGTAGAATCAAATCCCCGGCCCCTGCACCTGCTTGCAGGCGCTTTAATCCACTGAGCTATTTGGCCAGCCCTGTCATGCATATGTATATTTCAAAGCCACTTTTGAGTGCATAGGTCTCCCATTCTGCAATAACTGGTAGCTCACAAGAGCGCTGTTGCTGTCTTTCCTGTCTCTGCTCACTGTGTATCTCAGGGCCACGCTGGCTTCCCATCTCTAGCACCTAGAAACCTCCCAATTATGTCACCTTCAATAAAAAGTTGATTTATTCTGGTGGATTCTCCAAAATAAGGCTGATGTTTAAAATTAATGCTTATGAAGAAATTTAGTTTTGTGGAAAGCTATGTCACAAATGTATCGGAGAATGCACCTGGGGAAACTGCTCCCCCAAAAGCTACTTTTTGTCTTGCCTTTGGCACCTTGTGTCTGAACAGCACCTTTCAAACCATGGCCGTTCACTCTACGTTGATCAGATGAGAGGAGTAGGGAAGGAGATTCCAGTTACGGAGGTCATGGACACTGACCACCTCCTATTGGAAGATTCCTGTCTACCCAGAAAAATATGCTGTACTTGTGTAGGAGACTGAGGCCAGAAACAAACAGAAGAGCTTTAGCGAAGTTCTGCTTTGCAAACCCAAACAAAAGTATGAGTTGCACCACCCAACATATTTTAAAGAGAAACGTGCAGGACAGCTGTTGAAAGTCTTATATAGCACATCCCTTATTAAAATAAAGTGGTTTTAAAGCTAAGAAAGCAACGTTCAGAGTTAAAATGCGGACCCAGGAACAGTCACTGAAAAACTGCCAGGTGAAAGTGACTTGCATGAACATAGGAAAGCGCCCACATCCACGTTGCCTTGGAACCCCCGGGCACTGACAGGCGGGTCCAGCCCGGGCTGTACCTTTCCCTCATGCCGGATCGCAGAGACGGGTGTGGCCTCCTCAGCTCTCCGCCGTCTGTCCTCCTCCTCGTCATCGCGCTCCTCCTCAGCCTTTTTCTCTGGGGTCACAGTGGTGATCAGGTTGGTCTGAGAGATGCCCTTTGTGGTGGCGAACTGGCCAGTGCCAACCTCTGCAGCAGACATAGAATCCTTCATGTATATTTCATGGTTTTCATTCACTGATGCTAAAAGCAAATACAATTGGAGAAATAAAATCTGAAATAGTTAAGTCAGAAGACACATCCACATCATCGTCTCATTCCTGAGTTAAAATAGATACCACAGTAAAATAAAGGGTTTTCTTTTTTAAAAGAAAAGAAAAGGTCAATCAGCCCTGCAGCATCTGAGCACAACCATGCCTCAGCTTTCAGCATCATCTATAACTGGGTTTTAAAACGACTTAAATGCTCAGGTCTAGAAGTCCAGAGCAGCGCTGGCCACTCGCAGGCTCTGGGGAGGTTGCCTGAGGGGGAGAGGGTGGAGCCTGGGCTCACGGGGGGGGGGGGGGCATGCTGTGCCACAGCACCGCTTCCTGCCGTGTGCTCGGGAGAAGGCCGCATGCGCAGGAGACAACGGCTCTAATCTAATCAAATAGGTCTTTGGAAGCCATCAGGCAGCACTGAATTACAGGTAGTTTCATTACTATTTTTTTAATGTTAAAAAGTCAATCGCTTCTACAGCCTACAAGCCCTAAGGCTAATAATGAAAATTAACCATGGTGGTGGAGGCTGTAATACTCAGCCGACAATTCCAGGCACCCCGAGTACAGGAATGTTTTAGTGTCTACTGAATTTTAAACAGACCGCTATGACGAGCTGCACGTATGTTTGTTTGCTTTGACGGTGTTTTGGGAAAAGCCCATGTTCACAAATGAATTCACGCCAATGCACAGCATGCAAGCAGCAGAGGTGTACGGGACACACTTCCGTCCCTGCCAAAATGTCTTAGTGAAAGATGCTTAGTTCAGTTAAGTTTTAAAATCCACTATCATTATTTTAAGCTCTGGATATCGAAAAATTATTAAGATGTATAAATGTAGCTTTATAAATATGCAGTAGCTAGCTGCAGAGAAAATAGGATCTGCATTGATATTTTAAGATTTTTTTTTTTTTTGTGTGTGTGTGTGTTTGAGACAGAATCTCTTTATGTAGTTCAGGCTGGCCTTGAGCTCACTTTGAAGCCCAGGCTGGCCTCAAACGCACAGTGATCATCTTGCCTCAGCTTCCTGAGTGCTGGGGTTACAGGAGTGTGCTAGCACACCCAGCCTATTTTAGGAATTTTAAAACAGAAATAAAAGTAGGAGTTGGACATAAAATTCTTTCCAAAATCCTTTGAACAGTTTAAACTACTATACCAAAATATCTTCACTAAGATATTTCATAGCTCTGTAATGATCAAAAAAGCTCAGGGGACAGTTTGCCTGTTTATATAAGATGGCACCATGCAGAAAGCAGGCTAAGTTCCACCAGGCAGCCATGCACCCAGCACGGAGGCCAAGGGAGCACCCTGGGTCTGCTGGCCTGGCCAAGGGTCAGGCAGCCCATGTCACATGAGATCGGGCAGGGCACCGGAAGAGGCGGCGCAGGCTTAGCACACCGACTTCCCAGTGACTGTCTTCTGTCCTCTCGGCAGACACCGCCGGCACACAATGGTCAGGAGGAAAAACGACATTCAAAGCCCGCATGCTCCTTGAGTGGCACGAGCAGGCTCTGGGGAGAAGAAGGTGCGCCTCCACCAGAGCTGCTCCAATCCTGACTCAGGAAGTGGGCAGAGAGGTAACAGAGCTTCTTTAAAGGAGAGAGAAAGGAAGAAAGATAGCCTCTGTAACAAATGGTGCCAGAGAAACTGGCTCTCTACATGCCAAAAACTGAAACTTGGCCAGGTCTATCACCATGCACTAAAGTCCAAATGGATTAAAGGTTTAAACACTAAAACAGAAACACTCAATCTCCTGGAAGAGAAAGTAGGAGGAACTCTTGAAGACATAAGGATAGGCAAAGAGTTCATGAACAGAAATCAAATTGCACGGGTAATACTTGAAGGAATTAACAACTGGGATCTCCTCTTATTGAGAAGTTTTTGCATGTCAAAACATAGTACCAACAAAGTGAAAGACAACCCACAAATTTGGAAAAAATCTTAACTAATAAGCACTCAGACAAAGGTCTGCTCTCTAGAATTTATAAAGAAGTAAAAAATATTAGGGCCCCTATATTTAAAGACCCAATCCACAAATGGGCATCCGAGATGAATACACACTTTTCAGAGGATGAAATTCAAGAAGCAAATAAATATATGAAAAAATGCTCCACATCACTAGCAATCCATGAAATGCAAATTAAAACAATACTCGCCCTAGAAAGAATGGTTATCATAAAGAAATCAACCAACAACAAATGTTGAAGAGGCTGCGGGGAAAAAGGAACCCTTCTCTACGCTGGTGGGAATATAGACTGGTGCAACCATTATGTAAATCTGTGTGGAGACTCTTTGAAAAAATAGGACTGGAAATCCCATTCAAACCAGCTATTCCCCTAGTGGGGGGGGGAATTTTCTCAGAGGAACTGAAAACATATCATAGTGATATATGTGTACCTATGTTTATAGCAGCACAATTTGTGATAGCCAAATCTTGCAAACAACCAAAATGCCTGTCACTTGAGGAATGGATGCAAAAGATGTGGTATTTTTATACAATGGAGTATTACTCAGCTATAAAGAATGATAAACTTGAAGCCTTTATATTTAAGTGGATGTCATTTGAAGATATGCTCATAAGTGAAATAAACTAGACCCACATATGTAAACATTGTATAGTTTCCCTAGTGTAAGAACTCAAAGGAAGAAATAAAAATAGAAAGGTATAACACAATTAAAAGGAAAGAGAGAACTTGAGGACTAGACAATGAAGAGAGAGCAAGGAGAAAAGCTAGGAAACATGACATGGGCAAAAACCCTGCATTTATATGCACAAGATGGTTAAGGCAATGATCTTGAGAATCTTCAGCAGGGTTTTGAAACCATCAGCTAATTGGTAGGAATTCTCACTCTAACTATATGCTGATACCTGTGAACTAAGCAACTGCACTGAAGATAGTAATGTGTAATAGCAGGGTCACGCTGGGAATGCCTGTCATTATGGTCTTCTAAATACATACTGCTTGTCATGTCCTATCAATTACTGCTATACTGTCTCTCAAACAAATGTTTGTTTAAAAAAAGGGTAATAAATGAAAACAAGGGACAAGAAAAGAGAGTCATAGGACTATCCTGCTACAATGCTGTATATGGTTAGATTTCTAAATTTCTGTGAAAAATATGTAATTGTTTATTTCTATTTTTTAGAAAAACATTTTTTTCTTCACATTCTGTAGGGATATAAAGTTTAACATACTAATACTTGATGGAAAATACCTATTCCCTGTTATGCCTATGATTTTTGATATTCAGACAGATAGTGAGGTTAAGCTCAACTGCCTATGTTATAGTGTAATAACATCATTAAGCTTTTCTTCTGGAGGGTTAACAGCTTAAGTTTGCAGACCAAAAATCAGAGAAGAAGAAGGGCTGTAAGGACAGCCAATATTTTGGCCCGAACCTTTCAAGGCCAGTGAGGTATCAGGACATAGGAGAACCTGTACTGAAACATTCTGTAACTCAGTTGTGTCCCAAATTTTCTGATCAAGGAGACTATGGGCCACAGAGGAAAATGATGGATGATGTAGAGTGTGCCTAAGGAGAGTCACACCGAGGGGAAACATTCTCTCAGGCTTTCACAGAGAGCAAGTTGGTTAAGCAATGGCTGTGACTCATCCACATGTCTGATACTGACAAAAGATCTACAAACTGCTGTACAGGGTTTCAGGGTAAGTTCTGAGGGGATTTGACTGACCTTGTCAGATACAAAAGTTACACTTTTTGTTATATAGTTCTTCCTTTATCTTGGTCTTAACTACCAGCAGAAAAGTATAACAACGAAATATAAAAAGGAAAGCCATATTAATATGCTGAGCTGTAAAAGGCTCAATTCAACAAGTTCCAACATTGGCAGTCCTACAGATAACCCACTACTATTATGGACTACTGGAGTATATTGGATTATTTTGCTGAATTCACACACCTACAATATTTAAATGGCAATGGAATACCCATCTCCAACAAAACTAAACAAAAAAAGGGGATATAAATGAAGGATCATTTTGTATCTGCATATACAAAATAGGACAGTTATGCTACTTTCCGTTAGTTCAGTGAGAAGAGGGATTTATGCTAATGGTGTTTGGACAGCACATCATGTCTGCATCTTGTACTATGAATAACCAATAAGAAGACAACAATATACAATGCATTAATTATTGAAACTGTCCTACTAATTGGTTTTGAAACTGTCATTGTTTTTGTTTCTCAATAAAATTAATAAAAAAATTAAAGAAATAAAACCAGGAAAAAACAAGAGGAGAGAGAACGGGCCAAGGCAGAGAGGGCGGCCTCATGATGTGGGCAGCTCAGTGAATGAATGCAACTTGAAACAACCCCAATAAATGTTTTATTTCAGAGACTTCGCTCTAAATTTGGTACTCTGGACCTCTTAAGAGATGCAGAATGGTACTGAAATCCCTTTATTCCCACAGAGAATTGCTCTCGGGGCCTCTGTGGATACCGAAATCCAAAGGTTCCTATGACCCTCGTATAAAATGCTGTAGCATTTGCCGATTACCCTAATGTACCTCAGCTGTTCATTTACCTCTTTACTTATTTATGAGCTTGGTCACAGGACCTTTGCCCTGAGCTGTACCTCTACCTTCTCTTCTCCTCTTCCTCCTGCACCACTTCGCCTCCTCCTCCTCTTCCCCCTTCTTCTTTTTACAATTTAGAGTCCGGGCCTCACTGAGTCCCTAAGTTGCCTGGGCTGGCCTTAGACTTGCCTCCCGTCTCAGCCTGCCAGAGTAATGAGACAGGAGGTGTGCACCCTCATACCTGGCTCTCCGATTTACGGAACTTATAACACCTACCTCAATGTAAAAGGTATGCCACCTGCAGCCCTACTCTAAGGTTTAATGATAATAAGACTGTACATGTTTGGTACAGGTGCAATTTTTTAAAAACTGTCTTCAGATTGCAGTTGGTTAACTTAGCAGATGTGACTGAAGCCCACAGATACAGAAGGCCAACTGCAATCAACCTTCTAGGCCAGCTAACAGACAGCTGCCAACGTGCTACCGGGATACTTACAGTCGCACCTCTACTCAGATTGCTTTTACACATCACAACAGCAGCTCTGCTGAAGGCGGCCGCCCTCCCATGTTACAGATCTACTAAACTGAGGCCTAGCCTGGACGACACATTATCCCTGCTAGCTGGCTGTTCCCGCCACAGGGCACAATGTTGCACTCACAGCACAACGACAGCGTCTTCCAGGAGCAGTTTCTACAGTCTGTGCACGTGTGAGACTTCTGCATCTGATATCACTGCAGAACTTCACAGACCAGTGTTTCCTGGACCAGCAACGGTCCTTTCTTCGGCCTACTAGCCACGGAATGGCAAGGGCCACATTTTATTCCTGAACTTTTTTAGTAATAGGGACGAACTCACCATTTTCTATCTCAGACAAATCGGCTGAGACAGACCTGCTGGTAATTTAAAATCTGCTGGCAAGAGAGCCAGATTGTGCACAGAAGATGCGACCATGGAAGATGCGATCGCTGCAGTGGGCATGAGCGCGCCTTCTGACCTCCCCACCCCCCACTCCCCACAGTGGCCTGTGGCTGCTGTAGCTCCAGGGAGTGGCTACGGGAGCTCCAAGCGCCCAGCATTCTGCTGTGGGCTGCACTAGTGGTGACCCGCCCCGCATGGTCACCTACCTCCATCCAAGCTGCGGGACATGGTGTAGCGCTTGCTGGACGAGCGCTCGAAGTAAGGCGCGGGGCGGTCTATGAGGGCGCTGGCTCTCCGCGTCTGAGCCTGCGTGCGGCCGCTGTACCGGAACTTGGACCCCAGGGTGAGGAATTTCTTTGGCGGTGCTTCTGGTAACAACAGTCTGCAGATATCAAGAAGGGAAGAGGAAGGTCAAGGATTGTCAGTTGCCTTTAAGCTTTTTACTGTGTTTTGAGTTGTAAGTTGGACGTGCAACTTGTGGTTAGTGCACCC